ACTAGTATAGTTGTGTGTCTAAGAAACATTGATGATATGTCTTTGGAGATTTCCTATGTGGATAAATGACGCTTGAATAGCGAAGTCCAGCTACACAAGTAAGTTGACCTTCATGCCTTGACAGCTATGGCGAGTCACAGCATACAGAAAAATAAAAAAATAACAAATGCACAAGACCACATTTATGTTGGGCATGGGCTGCCTAGGCCCGTAGCATCGAGATGTCTTATTTAAGGGGAACGTATGGATGATAAAACATTCTGTGGCCCTGAAGAAAGAACCACATTTCTAGTAAAGTTTCACATTAGCCACTCCCAGGTTAAAATGGGCCCCGAGCGAGAGGAGGGGCAGATGTGATCCGGTTGCTGGTTTCTCGGAGGATAGTAGACAGACAGACAGACAGACAGACAGACCAAATGTAGAAGGGGATAGTCCTATGGAAAAGCAGGGTTATGACGAAGAGGGGGTATGTGAAATAACATAAATATGACTAAGAAACATTAATTTATTGTAAGTCTAATAGCCATGATGTACTATATCATCTTATGTGTTGGTTCATTAATTATATATTACATGCTTATATGCTAGGGTTAGGTAATATAATAAATGATATATATATATATATATATCTGTATTATAGACTAAATAAATTTATGTACAAGAAGTAATTTAATTAGAATATCAGCTTTGGGTGCTGATGGTGGGGGTTAGACCTTCCTTTCTTGGTGTCCTGAGAAGATAATTTCTTCATTTTTGATTTACAAGACTAGAGTAATTTTTATACTATCAGGACATTCCGTAAATTTTAGGATGGTGTCTTCAATTATACTTACGGTTGGTATAAAAATAACAACAGCGAAGTAGGTGATTGAGGCTAGTTGGCCAGTTAATAATAAATGGATATTCTACAGGTTGTCCTCCGATTCAAGTTAGTAGGAGTTGATCAGCTACTGGGGCTCAGTATGTTGTTTGGGTAAATGGACGGAAGATTGTGGCACCGTGTTTTGATGTGTGGAAGACAGGTAGGATGGCTAGGATTAAAATAGGATTGGGGCTAGTACACCTAGTTTATTGGGAATAGATCGTAGGATAGCATAAGCAAATAGGAAATATCATTTTGTTTAATGTGTTTAATATTAAGTGGATTTGCAGGAGTGTAATTCTGGAGACCCCCTCTGGGGTCTCCAGAATATCTGGGAAAAGCAATGCTAAAATTATTAGAGCAGTTAAGAGAAGAAAGACTCCAAGGAGATCTTTAATTGTATAGTATGGGCGAAAGGGTCTGAATTTAGGCCTGATGGGTTGTTAGAGCCTGTTGTGTGAAGAAATAAAAGGTGGACTACAATTAGAGCGGTAATAATAAATGATAGAATAAAGTGAATTGCAAAGAAGGCG